CCATTGGATTATCTCCGGTGTCTATGGCCCTAACGGGGATAAAGTTCGACATTTGTTGTGGGAGGAGCCTGTTTCCATTCAGAGTAGATGGCCTCTGCCTTGGTGTGTTGGAGGGGATTTTAATGTTATCCGATCCCTTAGTGAGAGGTCGATGGGGCAGATGGACTTTACCTATGGAGCTGTTTTCCGAGATCATTGCTGATTTGCAGTTGATTGACTTGTCATTAGAAGGGGCGACATTCACTTGGTCCAGTGGTAGAGAGTCTCCTACGCTCTCTCGTTTGGATAGATTCCTGTTGGCCGGAGATTGGGTAGAGAAATATCCGGCTGGAGTCAAAGTGGCGTTGGGTAGACCAACTTCGGATCATATTCCTGTGGTTCTGGATTGTGGGGGACTACGGAAAAGAAGCTCTCCTTTTAGATTTGAGAATATGTGGCTTCGAGTAGAGGGCTTTTTTGAGAGGATTCGCCCTTGGTGGGAGGGATTTGATGTGATTGGTACTCCAAGTTTCATTCTTTCAGGAAAATTACGTCGTTTGAAGGAGGAAATTAAAAGATGGAATAAGGAGGTTTTTGGGAACTTAGAGTGGAGGAAGAATGGGGCATTCTCAGAGATTGCTAATATTGATCACATGGATGGATTGGGAGATCTTGGGGAGGTTTTGAGAGATAAAAAGGTGGTCTGCCAGGCGGAGATTGCTGAAATAGCTGTGTTGGAGGAGATTTCGTGGAGATAGAAATCTAGGGCCCTGTGGTTAAATGAGGGGGACCGTAATACGAAATTTTCCATAGACTTGCTAATGCACATCGTAGGGGCAATCATATCGGGAGGATGTGGGTGGAAGGGGAGTTGCTTTGCAAGGATGAGGAGGTTTGTAGAGGAATTGCCTCTTTTTACTAGAATTTATTCACTGAGACTCACAGTTGGAGATCGTTGCTTGGGGGGCTGTTAAGGCGGAAGTGATGGGAACTTTTCATGCTTTTCATTTTAGGGCCACTTCGAGAAAAGTTTGAATACCACTTTCATTGCTCTTATCCCTAAAAAGGGGGGTGCGTGTGATGTAAAGGATTTTCGACCCATTCGCCTGGTGGGATGTATCTATAAATTAATTGCTAAAGTTCTTATTTCGAGACTGAGAAAGGTTTTGGATGGGGTTATTTCGGATTCCCAAAACGCTTTCGTAGGAGGCTGGCAAATTCTTGATTCAGTCTTTATAGCGGGCGAGTGTGTTGATTCTCGACTGTGCAGTGGGTTCCTAGGGTTTTATACAAGTTGGACATTCAGAAGGCCTATAATCATGTCATTTGAAGTTTCCTTCTTTATTTGATAGAAAGGATGGGCTTTGGAGAGAAATGGAGGAGATGGGTTGATTTTTGTATCTCAAGTGTTAGATTCTCGGTCCTTGTGAATGGAGCTCCGACGGGTTTCTTTGGTAACTCGAGGGGTTTGAGGCAGGGAAATCTTCTTTCTCCTTTTCTTTTTCTCATTTTTATGGAGGCACTTAGTAGGATTATGAAGAGGGTAGTGGATCTGGGTTTTTTTGTGTGGCTTCCGGGTGGGGAGAGATGTTCCTTCTCAGCTTGAGATCTCCCATTTGATCTTTGCCGATGACACGTTGGTTTTTTGTGACGCTGATGTGGCTCAGATGAGATTTTTGAGATGCATTTTATTATGGTTTCAAGTTGTATCCGGGTTAAAGGTCAATGTGGGAAAGAGTGTTTTGGTTCCAGTTGGGGAGGTTCTTGAGATTGATACTCTTGCTAACAATTTGGGCTGTTGCATTGGTTCTTTTCCCATTTCTTATTTAGGCCTACCTCTTGGAGCGCCGTCAAGGAGAGTGGGAAATTGGGATCCCATGGTTGAAAGGTTTGAGAGGAGGCTGACAGGTCGGAAGAAACAGTATCTTTCAAAGGGGGGAAGGGTTACTTTGATGAAGAGCACATTGTCGAGTCTTCCTACTTATTTCCTATCCCTTTTTCAGATTCCTTCTATTGTGGTTGAGAGGATTGATAAGTTGCAGCGTAACTTTCTCTGGGGAGGGAAGGGGGAGGAGTTTAAATATCATTTGGTCAATTGGAAGCAGGTGTGTACTCCTATTTAAAAAGGTGAGTTGGGTATCAAAAGACTGGTGCCTTTCAATAAGGCTCTTTTGGGGAAGTGGCTTTGGAGATTTGGGTTGGAGAGACATCGTTTATGGAGGAGGTTGATAGCGAGTAGATTTGGGGAGGATTTTGGTAGATGGTGTTCTCTTGAGGTGAAAATCCCAGGTGGTGGTGGTGTTTGAAAATTCATTCGGAAGGGTTGGGATGAATTTTCTAAACACATCAGGTTTTGAGTTAGGGATGGTAGCAGGATTCGATTTTGGGACGATATTTGGTGTGGTGAGCGCCCTCTTGCCCTTTTGTTTCCCGGACTCTTTAGGATTGCCACGGACAAACATGCTTTGGTGTTTGATTGCTATTACCTTGATAGTGGGAGAATGTCTTGGGATGTGCGTTTTGTGAGGAGCTTTTAGGATTGGGAGATTGAGGAGGCTATTGGCTTTTTGGAGTTGTTGTATCGCTAGGATATTGTGGACGGAGTTCCTGATTCTGTGGTGTGGATTCCATCTCCCCAGGGTCGCTTCGAGGTACGATCTTTCTTTGGGTGTCTTGCGGAGGCTCTAGGGGAAGTGTTCCGTGAAAGACTATTTGGCGTTATAAGGCTCCTCTCAAAGTGGCTTTCTTTGCTTGGACATCAGTTTTGGGGAAGATCTTGACCCAGGATAATCTTATGAGGAGGAGACATGTTGTGGTCAATTGTGTTGCATGTGTTTGAAAAACTGGGTAACAGTTGATCAACTTCTTTTGCATTGCCCAGTTGCTTGGGACTGTTGGACTTTGATGTTGACTTTGTTTGGGGTTCAGTGGGCTATGCCCCGGTCTTCCAGAGGTTTGGTTGAGGCTTGGAGAGGTTGTATGGTGGGGGACCCAAGCTTGTGACTTCTGCAGGGTCACGCCTTTATGTGTTTGCTGGTGCTTATGGCTTGAAAGAAATAGGCGATCTTTTGAAGGAAAGGAGACCCCTATTGGCGCACTGAAATTCTCCATTATTAATACTCTTTTTTGTTGGGTTCTTGGGAGAAATTGTAAATCCATGGATAAGATTGTTGATTTTGTGGACTCTTTGAGAGTTTAAAGGCCCTATTAGGTCTTGTTGTTTTGTGGGATGCGTCCCCCTTTTGAACGCTTTTCAATACATATTTACTTATCAAAAAAAAAAAAAAAAAAAAATTCTCAATAAAGTTTTAAAATATTCCGTGCAGTTCACTGTGCTATAAATATTCCTATGACATGAGGAAAAAGGTCATTATTGCATGGGGCTAAAAGTGCATATCATCACAACTGGGAATATTTAGATTTATTTTTTCACACTAGGCATCATCCTTGAAATATCTAGAGCACTTTGGAGGAATAAGATATTAGCAATAAGTAACATCAAGGTAAATGACATTAAGCTTTGTTGGGTTTTTGCCAAATTACAAGATTCACTCCTCTAGTTTCATAAATGACAGAAAGCCATTGCATCTAAAATATGAAGCGGGAACTACTAATTTAAATTTTTGGGATGCAATGGTCCATGGGAAACCACACGAGTAATTTACAGCAGACAATTGAAAATGGAAGCTCTTAACTTCTTCAATTATAGTATTAACAAATAATTTTACAAATATCAGTAACCCTCTCTCTCTCTCTCTCTCTCTCTCTTAATATCTAGTTTTGTAGTGGTAGTTCATTGCTTTTTCATAGTTGTGCCTTCTAACTTACAGGTCAGACTTAACTGCGATGCTTCGTGAGGTTGTATTTCTGTTTTCTATTTTGACATCCCTTTGCCTCCTCCTAGCATGCACGGAGTTTTTAATCCATTTTCTGTACTATTCATCTCATAATAAATGTAACTTGATTTTTGGGTTGAGTTTCACGGTTTATATATGAATCTGAGCTAACTTGAACCACTTCTAAATCATGCATCTCGTACACACACACACACACACACACACACACACACACACACTCATGCTCATGGGCTCATGCTCGTACGCGCGCACGTGTATGCACTCACATTTACACATGCACACAATCTGAGATGATACAAGGATTGAGATCAATATTGATCCTTCTCAACCCCAAGGGGTTGGCCTAGTTGGAAAAGACTTGGGCCCTCGCCTCATGAAGCATTAGGTCTCAGGATCGATTCCTGCTACGTGCAAACAATTCCTTTGGTGGGGGGGAGTACCAACTAGGAAAAAAATATATATTGATCCTTCTCATAATATATATCTCATAATTATAAAGGGTACAAATGTATTGTTGTCTTTCTTCTGGATTATTTATATTCAATTTTCTTTGAAGTCATGTTCTTTTTTTTTTTTCTTTTGTTGAAAGAAGTGGTTGTCATGTTCCTGATATGGTGCCTACGTCTCCCATATGCTCCAAAACGGAAAGTCAATATTTTCTATCTTTGACACCTACACTCTCATGGTTTTGACATAGGCACAACTCTGTACACAAGTTCTCATGTTACATAGATCCTAAGAATCTTGGACCAAAATTTAGGATCATAATCACATGTCAGTAAGTGATTTGCATAAATGTACATAATCACAAAAGTTTTGGAAGAAAAAATTGCAATTATGTCAATAGAATATTGTGAACTGTATATCACCATTCTATTTTCTTGTGGTTGACTGTTTTAGATGCTCAGCACCTAGTTCTCACATCTGTTCTTTGACTTCTGATATAAATAAGCAAACAAATAAATGTTACATCCATTTCTTTTGCTGATGCTTACTGTAATATGTTTTTTATCTTTAATTTATTTTACATAGTTTTTAATTTAGACAGATGATTATAAATCTATTTATTTATATGTCTGTTATTTGAAAGTTGAAATATTCCACAAATATTTGCTAGAATCATGCCTGAACTGCTTCTGAATTTTTTGCCTCTATTTTTCACAGGGATCTCAGTCATTTCAATCAACTAGTTCAGTAGAACATAATAGTCGTGTATTTGGTAGATTCCGAGCAAGGCATCATAGGGCGTCATCAATTGGAGAGGAAAAGTTTGCTTGTCGTACTGTTGATCTTCGTACTTCAACAATAAAGATTGATGCTGAGGATACAGATCTGCGGCTTTGCTTCCGAATAATTTCCCCTGCAAAATCTTACACATTGCAGGTGAAAAATTAGATGGGTATCTGACATCTCATCATGCCGTGAATTTTGATTCAAAATCTTACGCGTTGCACCAAATAGATAAATGGGACTATCCACAAAGAGGGATAAGAGTTATAAAAAGAGCTAACAAGCTTTTGTGTCTTTTCTGTTGCTATCTTGTTACAGTATGATGAAATAAATGTTTTTCCTTTTTTCTTCCTTTGGATTAATCTCTAAATTAGTTTGGAGAAAGTTATGCAGACATTTCCTTTATCTGGTTTGTGCAGGCCGAAAACGAAGCAGATAGGATGGACTGGATTAACAAAATCACTGGAGTTATTGCATCCCTTCTGAACTATCACCTGCAGCAGGTTGACTCTACGAAGCTTCATTCCTTCTGTATGACATCATATTGTAAGGATGTGTGTGAATAACAAGTCATTGTGGCTTCTGCAGCTAGATCCTGGAAAAAAGGATACGAAGAATGACTTTGTCTGGGGTGTTCCTTGTGATGTTCGACCACTTGATAATTGTGAAAGTTCACTGGATCACGTGAAAGTCAATCGAGCAGATTGTGTTTCTAGGATTCTCAGAGAAATTCCTGGGAATGATATTTGTGCAGAATGCAGTGCTCCTGAACCTGATTGGGCATCTCTAAATCTTGGGATTTTGATGTGCATTGAGTGCTCTGGTGTTCACCGGAATCTTGGTGTTCACATTTCAAAGGTGCACTTTCTTTTAAATGTTAATTTGGAAAACATTTTACCTTCCTATTTTTGTCTATTTTATTTTATTTTATTGTCCATGTCTTTTCTTCTTACTGAATACAATTGTTTCTGATATCTTCAGAACATATTTGGTAGCCTTTCCAGAGTATGGTGGTTGTGTTATGAGTGAATTACTATCAAAATTGTTTATATTTAAAAACTCGAGTACGTAGTAATTTGTGCTAAACCACAAGTCAAGATTCATGAATTGATTTTCTCCAAGCATAGCTGGTTCAGGGTGAGGGACGGGTACCTTGTTAGTTTTTGGGAGGATTCTTGGTGTGGCGAGCGGTGTTTAGAGAGGAACACGAGCTATTGTGACAATCGTGCTGAAAGTCTAAAGTGGGCAGCTAATGGAGTATTCACAGGCTTTGATGCTTGCATACCGAAGCGTTCCAGCACTTTCTCAATGTATTTATTATGTGACAAATGCAATCTGCGTGCTCCCCTATCCCTGTGAATTTCTATAGGACATCTCTTCTTTAGCTGCAGTTCTTGGGTATCGGGTGAGCTCCTTTCCTATCCTTTATTTGGGATTGCCCCTAGGGGCTTATTCCAGGTTAGTGGGGAGTTGGGATTCTGTGCTTAATAGGTATGCAAAGAGGTTGGCAGGTTGGAAGAAGCAATAGTTGTCCAAGGGGGGTAAAATAACTCTTATTAAGAGCACTTTATCAAGCCTTCCCACTTATTTTCTTTCTATGTTCCAAATTCAATGCTCAGTTGCTGATAGAATTGAAAAAATTCAAAGGAATTTCCTTTGGGGAGGGAGGGGAGAAGAGTTCAAGTATCACCTTGTTAGTTGGGAGCAAGTATGCAAGCCTCTAAAACTGGGGGGTCTCGGTATTAGACGATTGATTCCTTTTAATCAAGCTCTTCTGGGCAAATGGTTGTGGAGATACGGGAAGGAAAGACACCGCCCTTGGCATAGATTAGTATCTTGCAGGTATGGGGAAGACGTTGGCGGATGGACTACACGTCCGATTTCTATTGCAGGAGGAGTTGGGGCTTTGAAATCCATTCGGAAAGGATGGGATGCCTTTTCCTCTCATATCAGATTCAGAGTTCGTGATGGTAGTTGCGTTCGTTTTTGGGAAGATCTTTGGTGTGGGAACCAGCCTTTATGTCTTACATTTCCCAAATTATATAGTATTGCAGTTGATAAACATGCCATCGTAGCTAACTGTTATCAGCTTGATAATAGTGGGATTACGTGGAATGTTCATTTTCGGCGTTCATTTTAGGACTGGGAGTTGGAAGAGGTGAGCATTTTCTTGGATCAATTGTATCGGCAGGAAGAAATTGGCAGGGGTTATGACAATTTGATTTGGATTCCCTCTTCTCTCGATCGTTTTGAAGTAAGGTCTTTGTTCTTATGTTTGTCTAATTTTGCATCCTATGATTTCCCATGGAAGACCATATGGCGTTCTGTGACTCCTAGGGTGGCATTCTTTGTATGGACCGCCGTTTGGGGTAAGATTCCAATGATCGATAATTTGAGGAAAAGGGGAAATTTTCTTGTTAATCGGTGTTGCATATGTAAGCAGGATGGGGAGTTAGTCGATCATCTCCTAATGCATTGCTCTGTAGCGCACGATTGCTGGAATCTTATTCTTGGGCTATTTGGCATGTGATGGGTAATGCCATGTTCTACTAAGGGGTTGATTCATGCTTGGAGAGGTTGTCGTGTGAGTAGGAGTGTTCGTGATTATTGGAGATCTGTACCACATTGTATTTGGTGGTGTATCTGGAAGGAGAGAAATAGTAGAATGTTTGAAGGGAAGGAGTTGTCTACAATGACACTGAAACTTTTTATTATTCGCTCTCTCTTTAGTTATGTGAACAGAAGTTCTCGTTCCTCTTCTGATGATTTAATTTCTTTTTTGGATTCTTTGTGGCCTTAAACCCCGGTCTCTCTAATGTTCATGGGACACGTTCCCCTATTGAACGCCTTTTTTAATTTATTATTACTTATCAAAAAAAAAAAAAAAATTTGCCACTAAGCTGAGCCTTCAACATGCTGATTTCAAACATATTCTTGCAAGCTATCAACATGTCATCAACATACAACAACTAGTACAAATACGAACCATCTAAGAACCTCATGTCAAACCCCTCAGGCTGATGCATATAAATCTGCTCTTTCAACTCACTATGCAAGAAAATAGTCTTGACATCAAGCTGCTAGAGCTCTATGCAACCATAGCAAGTAGCACCAGATTGAGCTATGTTTCACCACAGGAGAAAACATTTCATAGAAGTCCACCTCTTCTCTCTGTATATAGCCCTTCGTTACTAAGCGTGCCTTGTACCTCGCATCTTTCACCCCTGGAGTTCCTTCGTTCTTCTTGAAGACCCATTTACAAAACACAATCTTTTGGCCCTTAGGCTTCTTAACTAGCTCCCAAGTTTGGTTCTTATGAAGAGACTCAATCTCCTCACTTATGGCAACATACCACTGTGCTGACTCTCCACCTGTTATGGCCTCGTGATAAGTACACGATTCATCAATATCTTCTGCCACACTAAGTGCATAAGCAACCGAATCAACATGTGAAAACCTATACTTCTCAGGTGGCCTAATATCCCTCCTAGGCCTGTCTCTAGCCAAACTATGCTGCTGCAACTGTGCATCCCTCTCTGTCTGAAACTGCACTTGCTTGTGAGTCAACCGAATAGGACTATCCTCTAACTGAACGTTTACATGCTCCACCTGCTCACTGACACCTTGAGCTCTCCCTAAATCAACTACCTCCTTCTGCGGAGTGTACATCGCAGACTCATGAAAGGTCACATCCTTGCTAACAAGTATCTTCTTTCCCGAAGCCTTTAAGCACCATAATCTGTATCCCTTGACCCCAGGTTGATAACCAAGAAATATGCATTTCTTAGCCCTCAATTTAAGCTTCTCCTCATTCACATGAGCGTACGCTGGATACCCAAATATTGTTAGATTACTGTAATTGGCAGGAGAACCAGACCATCTCTGGAGTGTTATAGTCGATGGAGACCTGTTCACCAAGTAGCTAGCTGTAGAAACAGCTTCAGCCCAAAATGCTTTATCTAACCCTGCATTGGACAATATATACCGTGCCTTCTCTAATAGTATTATATTCGTCCGTTTTGCAACTCCATTTTGCTGCGGAGTCTTCCTCACTGTGTGGTGTCTCACAATTCCGTGAGTCTTGCAAAACTCATTAAATTCTCCATCACAAAATTCCAAGCCATTGTTTGTCCTCAAGTGCTGACCTATTTTCCAGTCTGCTTCTTAGTCAAGGTCTTCTACTGCTTGAATGTAACAAAAGCCTCATTCTTGTGCTTCAGAATATAAACCTAAACTTTCTGAGAAAAGTCATCCATCAACGTCATCATATATCTACCACCACCATGTGGTAACCTGAGAGGGACCCCAAAGATCAGAATGAATTCCTTGGTCCTATAAATTCCTGTACTGAACTTCACTTTGCATTGCTTCCTGAAGACACAATACTCACAGAAATCCAGCTTCCCAATTTTCTGACCACCAAGCAAACCTTGCCCCAAGTCATATATGCCAGAATCTGGTAATATTTGAATCCGGATCTGAGGACGATACAACAATTGAACCCGTGACTGTGCTACCCTGCAAAGCATATAAACCATGCTTCTTCAGTCCCTTCATCACCACAAGAGCACCCATTGAAACCCGAATGACTCCCACCTTCAGCCTTGTAAACCCGATGGAATCCAGCGTACCTAGGGAAATCAAATTCTTTCTCAGTTCTGGTACATGCCTGACATCAATATCCTCACAATCCCATCATACTTCTTAATTCAAATTGTACTGATACGTACAACCTTGCATGCCACATCATTCGCCGTCAGAACTTCCCCTCCATCAATAGATCGATAAGAGGTAAACCAGTCCCTGTTTGGACAAGCATGGAACGAGCAACCCGAATCAAGTATCCACTTTTCACAAGAGCTGCCGACTGAAATTATGAGAATGTTGCCACCATCTGAATCATTACCCTCTGCAGCATCCACATTTCAACCTCGCATAGCAGAAGGAATAGAAGAAATAAAGCAATCACACAACAAACACAAGATATACGTGGTTCACCCAAAATCAGGGCTTCGTCCATGGATGAGAAGAGATTCACTATATATGTAGAGATATTACTAACAGTAGAGAATTTCTAACACTGGACAATGCACACAAACTCTTAACCGAGTTCTTCGTGTACTCCACGAGACACTCTCTTGCCATTAGTGTTCACTCTACTCAACATGTAACTACAACTCTGTCCATCAACTCCAACCCACATGAAGTTACATCTCTCTCAACTCATAACTCTCAACAAAAACTTAGGTATCTATTTGTAGTCACATACCTAATTCCTTGGTGGACAAGGATTACAATTTCTTAGAGCCCAAGACTTGTCTCTACAAGAAATTACCATAATAAATAATTCTAAAATAGAAACCTAATTACAATATAATTTGAAACACAATTCCTAACAATCTCCACCTTTATTCAAATATCATCCTGCCAAACATCGCTTCCCACGACATTGATCTGGGCAATTCTTTGCAACTTCAATCTTCTCGATCTTATGGCAGAACTCGGATTGTCCCCACTATACGCTGCTCAATCAATTAAACCTGAAGGCTCCATCTTGACTGCTTGAGCTCCATGCCATGTAACCCATCACGATTTTTGACCATCGTGACCAAACAAACCGATTGATTGACTCCACCTGCAACTAAACTCCATTGCAAATTCTGCTGAGACTCTTTGTGTTTTTTGGATCTTTTTCGAATAAAGGTTGAACTTCTCAACATGAACCATTGTCTCTGATACCAGTTTGTTACGACAAACGCAGCGAACCCAAGATATAACCAAGAATCACGACAGAAAAATAAACACGCCACACAAAGAACACAAAGATTTGTACGTGGTTCGGCAACAACCTACGTCTA